TTATTCCTGGCCTTGTTTTAATTCACAGCGTCTGCTGGCGCGTCATCCTCTGGAATTCTTGGTAGACTTTGTCGTCCTTTGGCAACGTCTCCAGCAACATTGTCTCAGTCGCATCCTTGGCTAGAATGTTTACACATAGCTATAGATACACACATGCTCGAGTATGCGTGTGTGTGTGTGTGTGTGTGTGTGTGTGTGCTGCCTGAGTTGTAAGTGACATTTGCAATTTTCAAACTATTGAATGAGTGACAAGTTCTGCAGACACGATTGAAACTGACAGCTACGTACTGCTATGCACTCTCGTATTCCTTTAGCTCCAGCCAAGGGCCAGTCCTTAGTCCTTGCTGCACTTTGTTTCTTCAGCTTGGCCTCGTACTCTGCCAGCTTATAGTCCTCACCGCCCCTCTCAGTCGTTGTGCGGGCCACGCGTACTACCAGACTTTTAAATACTCATATATCTCTGCTAAACGAATAAACTTTAATTAGTGCATCTAGTATATTTGGCTTGCATGCATGAGGGCCAATCAATTATTTATTCAAACCTTTAGACGTTTAAACCTAATATTAAAGTGGGTTATATATTAAGAAAAATATATATTTAAAAGATACGCTTATATTCTAGAATATAAATAGGGAAGTCAATATGTATCAAAAATTACAATAGGAATAATTATTTCTTAACTTGAATGAAATTGACAATTCTTTTCAATATAATTAATTAATAAACATCGAAAATATACAGTATAGATCCACTTATTCATTATCATATATCGGTACTCATAAATATGAGTACAAATTTGATTAAATGATATAAATGTATATTGTGCCCTGTTTTCTTATATATATATTAATTGGCCTGTGGAGCGCAGTTCGACTGAGTGAAAGTAAAGCCAAATAATAGAAATTAATATTCATTTTGCAATCTCAGTATTTCACGATATAAAGTGAACGTATTCTTATCATATCTTATGCATATTATGACTGTCTATAATTGTCTGCATATGCATATTAGATCATTTAGATGGCAATTAAATGCAACCGGATTACTGTGCAGTTTAGTCAAGTCTCTTGCAACTGGTTCAAAACACATAAAGGTGTTAACAGTACAGATTGAGCTTACATTTTATGCATTTATGGCCAAATATGAAGAGATCATTGGTAAATGGTAGAGGTAATTGGCTTTGCAGCGGACATTAACGAGCCTGCAATGCGGCAATTACTCAGGGTAATGTGTAATTTGCATAATACCGGTGCGAATGTACATATAACAATAAAATAACATATTAAATAATGGCTAAAAGGCACTGACTAGCCGCAGCAGTGTCTGACTGACTGACTGGCTGCATGGTTAGATGACTCACTGGCCATTAACAATTATATTTATTTTGTTGGAGCTGCAGCATTCGCCTGGCTGTATGTCAATGTCAACATCAATGTCACATCCATTGGAGATGTCAGCCAGACAGATACATACTATCTAAAGGACATTTTGACAAATAATTCAAACCGCATTTTATAATGAATTCAACGCATTGTCCACAGTTAGAGCCCCAATACGAACTCCAGCTACGGCTGCACCTGCGCCATTTGGGGCCCTTAGCCGGATGAGCCACACACAGTTATTTACACTCTTGCCCATTTCATCTGGGGTCTGCCAGTCGGCTGTGTGTGGCTCGTGTCACTTTTTGCAAGATTTATGCTGTATAAATTCAATACCGACAATCGCAAAGATGAGCCTGGCTTATTTTTGGCGCTCTTAAGTGCCGGGAGGTGCGTCCATGTCGATGTCGATGACAATGACGATGACGACGACTCCGTCACTCACGCATCATCCTTTCCACAGTCGTAAACTGATGATTTTATTGGCCAGCTGAATCCGTCGCACAATGTGTCCGGCTTGGCGCTCTTAAAATTCGCTCGTAAATTTCAAATGAAGCGTTGCGAATGTATCGCAAAGCAAGTGGGCTTGATCGTATCGGCTGTAGCAGACTCTCAAATGCTCTGCAATGGCATTATCCTGGCAAATAGTATTGGTAATTATTTAGATTTATATTTAATGGAATTTTAGAATAATAAGATAATAACTATTACATTTCGGGCCTATGTAAGCTTGAATTGAATACACAAAATTTTTATGTTGAAAACAATAAAATTGTTGTATGTATTTACTAAGGACTTTGGTCTAAATTATGGTCATAAAACATGTCACATAGAACTCACTTTATAATTATATAAATTATTTTATTATTATTATTCCATTTAAAATGAGATAAATATAAAATAACTTTTCTTTTAATCTTTATTTAAACATTAACTATAATTACATTAATATTAAAAAAAAAACAGGGGCCTTTTAAAGCGCATTTAAACTCAATTTGTAGTTCTATGCCCACCTTTTGGGTGATTTATTAAGATTATTTTTATTTCATTTACTTTGACACTGTTATCTTCGTTTATAAGAAGCATGGCTAGGTACAGTGGGCTATAGGGAGCCAAATGAGCTTGCAGTGCTCGAGGAACTGCAAGCCGAATTAGTCATGCGCTTAACTCGTTTGCTAACTGCTCATATTTACATAAGACGGACTCATTAAACGAACCCTAATGAAAAAAAGAAACAAGCAAAAAACAAAAGATAAACATATATTACTCGTATTACGGCCGCTGACAGCTGCCATCATATTCGATCGCATCATCATCAAAGTCAATTAGCATAAAATGCCTTATCATTGATCCAAAAATAACGCGAAATATTGATGGAAATTTATATATTTTTGGCATAAACAATTGAACGAATTTGTATCTCGGAAACTCCCGAAACGCGCCAGCCAAAAGGTGATAGTGAGGAAGCTGGCAGCCAAGGTGGGCTTATTCATTGAGGAAGACAATGGGAGCCAGCGAAATATTGCGCTCTTCTGAATTTCGCTGTGCTAAATGCGCACCTATCGGAAATACTATGATCTTCATTTTCTCATTGACCTGCAGCGTCTCATAGTGGAAGCGTTCGACAATGTGTACATCAATTTTGTTCACGGCATGTGATGGAATAATGGGGCCCAAATTCACATTACAGCAGTTGAAGAAGAAGTTGGTGCAGTCGAGGTTTACGGCCAGCTGATAGAGACCCTCCACAGACTCGTTCCAAATGGTGACGCTCTCAAAGTTCACATTGTCCTTGCGGCATATATCAATGATTTCGTTTGTGGTGCGAAAGGTGTGCAGGCAGATGACACCTGTCGGACCGGAACCCAGCTGACTATGCCGGCCATTGCAGACCACAATGGGCGTGGCCAATGGCGGCGGCACCTGCTCCTCGCTGGCAACGATTACTTCCAGATTGAGATCGAGAAGCGCCTTCATTGAGGCCCGATAGCTGGAATGTGTGGCCACCCGTTCGCACAGCGGCCGCATCTGCGCACGAATGCGCTCCACCAACTCATTGCACATGCTCTCCTCGACGAGCACCGTGACCACCGCGTTCGATTGAAAAGGCCGATGTAGGGAGTCAATTAAAAAGTATAGGGCACAGTTTATATCACCCAGCCCATAGATAATCATGAGCTGTGGACAGAACACTTCAATACTAGCTTGAATATCTGAAACATTAAAGGTTAAGGTGTCTTTCGACAATGGATCAGAATCGGCAAAATCAGTATCCCCAGCCTCGGAAACTGGCGGTGTTGGCGCATTGAACGGTAAAAAAGGAAGCGGTCCATAGCCATCGGCATCACATTTTAGATTGAAGACCATTCGGCCCGTTACTCTGACTGCATCCTGCGATGGATGCGAACTTTCCGACTTAACTGGCAGCGATTCATAGGATGGTATGGAAATAACATCGTAGCTGTTTCGACGGTCCTCGTTCTGCATATTCAGTGTACAATTTTCAGATTTTTACAAATATGTATATGTGTATTTAATAATTTGTGTGTAGATAACTTTTGTGGAATTACATAAGATTTTCAGATGACAATTTTTACCATGCACATGCACTAAGGAAGTTTAATTAAATATCGCAATGCTGCAAGCCAGGCTTATTATATCCTTGCAGTTTAGCTTTTTGCCGCCGCATGTGGTTTAGCAGTTCGGAGCACAGAATTTAGCAACCCAAACCGCTCGACGAATTAATTATTAATCTGAAAATTTATGATCAAATGTGACAGTAAAATTAAAATATCACCAGCAGATACAAAAGTGCTTCTATGCAAAACTTGTGTTTAGGCGCAGAGCCACAAATGCTTTTGGATTTGTTGAAATTAGCATTAAATTATTATAAATATAAACTATAATAAATGTTTGTACAAAATATTATACAATTTTTTGTTGTTGTTGTGTTTTTGTGGATTGTCCTCATTTTGGATAGCTTATTACAAAGAGCATAAATGTTAATTTTTTGCATAAACAACAACAATAACAACAGAAATTACTAATACAATTAAAAACATTCAAAACCGCGAAAATATTTTTGGTATTCTATTTAGAATGGGATTTGAGAGGCAGGCAATAGAAACGAGATATTTGAGTATTGGTAGAGCACAGAGAAGGACTGGGGGGAGTGTGAGAAAAGAGGGAGTCGGGGGACAATTAAATTAAACAACATCAAGTGCAGTAGATGTAACAACAACAACAACAACAACAACAACAACTATAACAAATATAAAAAACAAAAATGCTGCTGCTAACGATGACTATTTACATTTATCAAGAGTAATTATAATAAAACGCCAAAAATAAAATTTAAATTAATATAGAAAGCCGATTATAGAATAGCCCTTCCCGTGTCCCTACACACACACACACACGCACAGCTTGACTCTAATAATATGGCTACAACAATGCAGCTGCAGTTGCCACTGCCACAGCAACAACAGCAAGTGTCAAATATAACAAATCCCATAAATCAACAATGTGAATTTCGTTTAAACAAAAAAAAAATGGAAACAAAAAAATATAAACATAAAGCAGGCCAACATTTACAATAAATAATTGGGCTTAAAAAAATATTTACAAGTATTCAAAATTAATATGTACAGATTTTTAGTTAGCTATGCAAACAATGCAAGCAAGAAACCCATTTCGCATGACATTATTTAATTGTTGATACCAAGGCTGCCAATCGGTTTTTAAGCGAAACCGGTTCGAACCCGGAACTACGCACAAGCCTTCCGAGAAATCAAATATTATTTTGCTGCTAAGCAGTTTTTCTTTTATGTTTCAAAATGTAGCTGTCAAAGTAGAGCTAATTTATCTTACGCTTAGTAAAAATATGTTAATATAAAAAAGCCGTGCATACCAGAAATTACTCATAGACCGATCCTTTCTGTGGCATATATAAAAATATAAATATTTTAGCTCTGGCGGTGTTATATCATATTTGATTTGTTATAAGGAAGAGCAAGATCCTGACCAAACAAATAATATATGATAAAATTGGGAAGATTAACAAAATGATTGGTTTATCTTCACATTATTTATATATAAATATTCATAGTATTTAGAACTTAGCTTAGCATAAAACTTCAAAATTTATTTGGGAAAATATTAACTTCCCAAAATGCTGGCAGTAGCTGTTAAATATTCATTTATTGTTATACTTGGCGTAAGGATTGTTGAACACTAACTCAAATATCATAGCTGACAAGTTTAATGCTTTTATCATTGACTCTTTTGTTTCAGTTTATAGTTGTGATTACAGTGCGCATAACTTTGCCCCACATATTGGAATATGATGAACAATATCTGTTTAAGAAAATGAAATTTCTTGTGATAAGGGTCTATATATCACTAACTAGTTTGCTAGTACTTGAGATGGTATCGATATATCTAAGTGTTGGTCTGCTCTATGCGACGACCGACTGGATGGCTGTGCTGGTATGTAAATGGAAGCTTTTAAATATTTTTTAAATATATAAGTCATATGCCTTAGTATTTGCCTCTACTAATATATACTATGCACCGCACATATGACACATGTGTCGTTCAGCTTGCAACACTCATAGCTGTCAAAGATGCTCACGATTTTCTTATTGAACACTGGCGAAAATACTTTGAATATGATGATCAGTTTTGGATTGAGATACAGGCAAAGGTGGATTGCAAAATTGACATATTTATTATAATACATATGTATATTTCTTGTCTCAGTTGGGTTGTTGTGGCCTAGAGGGACCACGAACTTATTTGGACTACTTGCTTAAGGTGCCTGCAATATGTTATAATGATGGGAACGTTTTGATCACGAGGGGATGTGAGGATGTTGTTTATGATAGTTTCAATGGCGTACAATTCCTGGTCATGGGTCTCTGCTGGTTAGCACTGAGTCTACAGTTTCTTACGTTTGTTCTATATTTCTGGTTTGTTATGCGTAAATATATTTATTTAATGAACCAGAGAGGAATCAGAATGAATACAGAACACAGAATAAAGATTTGGGGACCAAAGGAAAAGGTTCGATTTCAGTTAAAATTGAACTATTTCGATGGTTTTTTTATAAACTACAATAAATTTTAAAATATTTTAAGCGATTTTTTATTGATGACAATTATACTATTGCGTTTTGATATTTGTTAAAATATATTTTCGTTTTACTAAATCTTGCCAGAATGTTTTCTGAGCGCTTAGATTCTTTTGAGAACTCGAACCATTAAGTCTGTCCAAAGCTTCTCCCAACATAAGAAATTAAATATTTAATTTATTAAATTGCAAAATAAACAGTACTCAACGTTAAGTTAATACTTGTGATTTATTTTGCGACAGATAAAAACAATACAAAACAATATTGGAATTTATGTATTTGTAATTTTTAGAAATGTCAATTTTATCTATGCGCTTTCTGTGGCATTTAATGGTGGGCAAAGGGGCTGGTGACAAACCTGGGAGAGACAAATAAAATAAATTGAAATTAGCTTCCTTTGCTGCCGTTGACAATTTGAATAAAATTAATATAAATTTTCGCCCATTTTTAATTAATATATGTCAAATATTTCGCGTATGGGTATTTATTTGCAAATTTATTTGTCTGATTTGTAAACAGTTGTCTTTTCTGTTTTCTGCTGCAACATTTTGCGGAAATTTTAATTCTATTTTTGCTCTTTTTTTTGCCGATGTTTGTAAATGGGGCGATAACAAATTTCACGGCTAGTTGGGAAATGTGATGGAGAAAGCCAATCGGCGGAGAGAGCGAGAGAGAGAGGCGGATAGAAAGAGAGAGAGCGAACGGAAACATACTTTGGACTTTCAAGCGGAAACGGAAGTCAATATTAGTAGGCAAAAATAAATTTTCGCTTTGGTCAATAACAATGCACTGCAATTATTAATGGTCAAAAGCTGTCGCTATTCTTGTGGCTTCCAAAAACCAAATTTTTCGTTCGTTTTTTAGAAATATTATTTATATAGCTAGTAACAGGAAATTATTTACAAAATTTATTACCCAAAGGCATGGCTCATCGTGCATATTTTTATACATTTTGAGGCATGTTGAATGTTGACAATTGATAAGAAAATTCAGGTTGCGAAATCAGTTACTAAGTTTTTCTTCACTCTTGCTAAAAAATGTTTAAATATATATTATTATCCAAACTTTACTTAATGTTGGTTTCGAAAAAAGCATTCGGCTGAAATTTGACTTTTTGACCAATTGTGGATTTATGATAAATATCGAAATCTTTAATCTCAGACTTCTTACAGAAACAAAATCTTTTTGGCTTTTTCTATTTTATGCCCATGTTGAGGGTATTACAATTTTGTCGTTAAATGTGTATCGCATAGAAGTATACATCTCAGATGCCATAAAGTACATATATCCAAGATATGCACAAAGACCCGAGTTGATATTGCCATGACTGTCTGTCCCTCTATCTGTTCTATTCTCACATATGTGCAAGAGCGGAAAGGGAAATGTCTAAAAGGGTAGTAAATCTTCGGCTTCCCGTAGATATCCTTCCTTGAGAGTTTTAATTTTTTTCATAAATACCCATATAAAAAGTATGTTAAATATCTGGTATTTAGATCTCTGTGGAAACCCAATTTGTCACTAGAAGTAACTCGTATTTTATGCGGACTTTGACAACATTTAGCGACAGCATGATTGATAACAATGGCAATACTGGAAGATAGGGTTGTACTCTGTCAGCGTTAAATTTAAAAAACCGCGTATACGTTAGATAATCAGGCCAAGTCATAAATTTCAAATGCACACAACAAACGCGAAATAAAAAACTGTCTACAACTCATGTGTGAGCAATGTAGAGGATGATGTTGGGGGGTTACGGGTAGTTTTGGAATGCCAATTGTGAATGGGCCTGGCAAGTGTCAAACATTGGCCATCAGACAAGCACCCAGCAGTGTGAGTGGGTCTTATCATTTGCTCATAAAAATGTCAAAACTATCTCAATGACGTTGACTGATGACATCGGAGATGTTGGTGGAGATGACGATGATGATGAGGAGGAGCGCAATGTGCTTGACACTCGCATGGCTTGTCCTGAGGAGCTCATGTGGCATGTGGCATGCGGCATGCGGCAGGATGCCAATGCTAAATGCTTTTTGCCAGTGCTACTCAAACGACAAGTGCCTGCCACATAGATGGGTGTATGGGGCCAACATTCAACACGCATTCACTGTTTTTTTTCTTTCGAGCTGCGAACCAACCGACCCATTCAGACATCCATCCATCCGTCCAACCAGCCATCCATCTATCCATCAGTGTTGAATGAGTGAGACCGAGTCGCTCTTGAAGCCATCATCAGCATAACCATCCTCTGGCTGTCATGATTCATGGTTTCGATTGAATTTTGATTGACAATATCGCAAGCATTTAAAGTGTCTGTTTCCCGCATCCGTTATCTATGGAATTTTTGTGTGTGCATGTTTTTTTATTCCCTCTGACAGTGCTTGAAGTAGCTCGACTTCTGGGCTCTGTGGGCTAAGTGATGCAGCTTTGCGAAGTGATTTTAAAATCATTTGTCATTTGACAGATGAGCCTTTGATTGACTCCAATGGCAATGAATACATCAACTGAGGCGTAGATTTTACACGTACAAGTACTCAGCTATGCTTAAATATGCATACAGAAACGATGAATAAGCTCGTTCGAGTTGAAGAAAATACTCGCAAGTACTTAAAGTTAAACACAGCAAAATACTCATGCCGTGGCGAACCGCTTATCGCAATTATATCGCATATCGCTCTACATAATGAATAGAGAAATTAGTTTACTTTAATTTATGAGCCAACTAATATGTGTGTCATCCCCATAGAGCCATGCTGATGGCAACCCCATCACATCTCAACCCAACCACTCGACACATACATACACATCGATTAGCGATAAGATCGACACGGCGCGAATTTATGGCCGCACTCAGATGTGAAATAACAATTTCTTTTGACATTGATTGAATTAATTTATGAGCACAGCCCAAAACACCAGCCATGATCGGAGCAGTCATCAACCATATTGACAACTATTTATGGCGTTAACAATCTGAACCAAATCAGGGCGAATTGAGTGATTACCTGTTTGCCCAATTTGAGATTTATACTTGGACATTGAGTGAATCGAACGACGTTGTTGCTGCGATACATCGAAATTTACAGCCTTGGAGCACTCGGTAATCACATCGATGCGGACTGCCCCGATACGCGCACATTGAGACTAAAAAGTCTGCACGCAATTCTATTCAATATTCAGGAAGATTTATATTTCTCAGTTAATTATGATAACCTCTTTGGTGGAAAAGGGCAATCTAGAGCGCAATCTAGATTGGTCTAAAGTCAAGAAATCTTTCTAAACTATTTTTAATCGATTTTAAAAGAAATTTGGTACAAATCGTCAATATCTAGAAGCTTTTTGCCGGAAGTTTATTCTATTCGTTCCGCACTTTGATTTCCCATTTCGTGTCGCTGTCATTTATATATATAAAAGTAGTTGCCTAGATGCAAGTTTTTAACCTTAGAATTATGTAATAATAATTTGTCAGCTGCAGCCCCGCTGCAAAGCATTTCGATTAATCTGTTGAAATGTCATGTGGCAAGTTGGAAAAGAGTTCAAAAACTGACTGGCAACTGGCAGCTGGGACAGTCCATTGCTTAATTTTATATACTTTTATCCCATTATTTAACGAACACAAAAAGAATAAAAAGCAGTTATACACTATGGGATTGGGTCTGACAATCGGGATTGGCAAACGTGCAGCTCACGCGGGGATCACGTACCGTGCGCGCATTCCAATTTGCCAGCCGCCGGCGTTGCTGAATGTCAACGGAGGCCGAGCTTGACAATCGCCAACAATCAGTGAAAAATGCGTTCATTTTAGGACATTTTGCATTAATTGAATGCGAGTTGTGTGCTGGACAAACCGAATCCGGCATTTGGCATTGGCATCCACGGCGCCGCAGCCAAATGGTTTTTAATTATTTTTTTAAATTTATAATTTTTGTTGCAACACGCGACCCCCTCCACGCGCACATGTTGCTCGTAAATAAATTGCAAATTATAACGAATGCATTTTTTTTTTTTTGTGCCTGCCTTTGCGCTATATATTTTAATTTTAATTCAATTGCACGTCTCTCAACGCCGACAACTTGGGGACTGGCTCTTCAAATAAACTGACATTTTGACGCAAATTATCCGCTGCGGGCAATCCCAATGCCAACGGCTATAGTTGATTCATGTAAAGGCTTTTCAGGGCCTTCTTTTTTTATATTTAAATATCAGTTTTATGGTTTTTTGCTTAATAAACTACATAAATTGCATAGTGAAATATATGAAATTAGTAAGACTAAGGCAATTTTTTATATATGAGTGTTTTTACAAAGGAAGCATTAACGAGGAAAACGGATTTTGTGTAAATGCGTATAACAGGCAAAAGGAAACATCTCCAATCCCATGACTGATTGATGGGCTGATTGATGATTTAACTCCAACCCTAAACTTATGCTCGGTGATATTAAGCAAATCCAACAAATTGATTTCATTTGTTAGCTGGTCCAAGATCCATTGGAATCATAATTTACGTTGAGCGTTTGTTAAAATTGAAAAACAGAAAAGAAAATACTTTTGCATCGTGGCATTGCGGTATTGTACAATTCGTAGCGAACACAATAATATTTATGGTTCACAATCGGAAATTATAACCTATATGAAAGTCAAAGAGACGAAAACCAAAATCATAAATTCAAATGCATACAAAAAGCTTCAACAAAATACGTTTGATGACAATAAATATAAAAAGATCATAAAGCGAGCCAGCACAACACCCAACACCAAACAACAACAACAGCAACAAACAACAATCTCAGCAACAATATAAAAATCTATGACAACACTCACAATACAAATCGCGTTTAATGGGCATGAAAAAAAAACGCCAGCTGGAAAACTAATGCGACACGTCGAAGATTAAATACCCTTGACAAATAACCAAATATCGATTTAATAAAAAAGCTTTATTTCCTACGGATTGCTCCTATGGGAGCATTAGAATAAACTAGTCCGACTTAACTCGGAGATGCAGATATATTAGAAGAGTAAAGCTCGTAAAGATTGATAAAGATATTTTGAAAAACTTAATTGTTAGGCGATTATTTATATAGAGCTGTAGGATGTACTAATTTGATATTGATGATTTTTCTCATGTGCAACAGCCTAATTTCACTATCAACATTTCTTATATTGTATAACATTATTTGCTAATGTGAAATATGGCGTTAGTTACGTCTTTCCATAAGAAACGACATTTTTCACATGTGCACAGAACGTTGATTTTCGTCCCAAGTCTAATATATTGATTACTTATTGGCATTGGACTATATGAATTGCACATATATGTATATAGAAGCGTACAAAGTAATGCGATTTGTCAGCTCATGCGTTACAAGTATTGCAATAAAATAAAAATACCCTACGAAAGTGTATTAAAAAAAAAGCAACAACAACAACCATTTGACATTTATCAGTTCGTCAAATTGAACTGACGCGGAGCTTGCCTCGCTGAGAGACCGTCGCTGGAGCCAAGGCAGAAACTGGAAATGGAAATGAAAATGGGTCTAGCTCGTGTCTGGAGCAGGGGATTCGACTGTCTGGCGGCGACTGGGCCGAGTGATAACTTTTGCGCTTTCGAAATGAACAAATGCTTTATTGTGATTGCCTTTATCACGATGTTTATGCGCTTTTCGAACAGACTTATAAAATATATCTTATAAATGTGTATTTCTTAAGGGGACAATCCCTTAATTTTGCGGTTACAAATCTCTCTCTTAAACGAGCTTGTTTAGCTTATCATAATAAATTCCATTTATAAGCAATAGCAGAACATTTCAATGTGATGATCATTTACACAATATGATTGGTTTCCGTATCTGTTGGTTCGTGTTATAGCTCCATTTAGAGCTAGTGAATCCTCCGTAAATCTTGTAGTTCCTTCAAAGAGTCCTTCGCCCGGAGACGTCTGCAATCGAACCTTGACCTCAAAGTGCTTATCAGCGCCTTTTTTAAGCACATACGCCTCTTGCACCTCTTCCAGGTACAATTTCTGGCAGAGCCTGTGACTCTTGATCAGCATGTTGATGCTATCCACGACAAAGCGAGCAGCTCGCTGGGATACTTTGGCAGACGTACGTATCTTTTTCAGCTTATGACAATTACATAAATTAGCTGGAATGTGCGCCAATTTACAATCTCGCAGCTCTGGTATGGGTAGAAAGAGACTAATACCTCGAGGTATCTTTTGTCCCAGTCCCTTCAGGACTGCCGATCGATTTGCAATGTTGCTACTCCGAAGAAGCTTTAAATTGGTCAAGTCCTTGAGAGTTACATGTAAATCAAAGGCTGTGACAAGACTATGAGAATTGTATCGAAGATTAGATATGGCTGCGGGGTAAGCCTTCTCTAACCACTTGGGATACAGGGCTATCAAAAACGGCAGAGACTCCTCGTACATGCCCTGCCAGGTTCTGCGAAAAGAACCAAACCGCAAACCATGATCGGACATAAAGAGTACCAGGGTGTTTTCCAAAACAGACTTCTCATGAAGCCGCTGAAGTAAGCATAGATATCGTTCGTCTAAGACACGGGCATAATTGTAATAGTCGTGCACGCCTTGCGTTTCCCAAAAGATCGAAAAGTGATCCCCGCTGTTCATATGAGGTATTAGCTTATAGATGAATTCATGGTGAATGTCCGCATATTTGCGTCCTGCACTGCAGTGAATTAAGTCAAGCTCATCTAGGCTGTACCTAGTGTAACAATCGATCTCAGCCATCACGGGCCGCAAATAGAAATCAGTGGGCTGCTGTGCAAAGCCTTTCTTGCAGTATGAAAATGTTCCAATAGCCATGTTATCTTCGCCAAAGCTAGTGTTGTACCCCGCAGCCTTGAAATGATTCCACAGAAACTTGCACTCATCAAAAGAGGACTTATTCTTATAACAGCTACCCTCCATTTCCGTGTCGCTTAGGCCACTTAATAGTGGGACTAGGTTAGGAAAGGAATTAACACCGACTCGGTTGTAGCCCCAGAACTCAACGTGCGATAGATGCCTAATAAAGGCAGCTGTTGAGGGCATCATGCGAAGAAAATGCATATGAGATATGGAATCGATGCCTAATATCATCACAGACAGGCGATTCGGTGACGATGTTGACGGGATGCTGCGTGGAGGTGGGGCTGCAGGTAAAAAGAAATGAACATCGTGATAAATCAATTTTCTCTTGGGCACAAAACACTGGATTCGCAATATCCTAGAGCCGTCTTCAACTTTAATTAGTGGCTTTTGATTGCTTAAGAAAAAGGTTCTACCTTTCGTCATTTTGTTCGAGAAGTCATTATGTCGTCTCACCAGCTTATAAGTGCAGTTAACTTCGGTAATGCTTTCAACTCCGTAGGTCTTTACAATTTCTCTCTCCGACATTGCCAGCTCCAAGAAATTCGTATCCCTTACCGTTTCACCACGAAATAGTTGAAGTTTACTGCATTTTCTGGACTCGACTTGCCGAAAGTACTTCAATAATGGTGTTGCATTTGGATTCAAGGCCAGCATACAACAACCGGATGTGTTGACAAAGTAGCCCTCCGTTTCAGATTCTCGTTCCTTGTCCATGTAGCAAATAATGTTTATCAGAAAATAGTTAAAAACGCATACCAGGATGGCTCCGAAAGTAATCCATGTGAGCCTCTTATAACCAAATCGGTGTTTCAATTTTTGTTTTAACATATTTTAAAGAAATAAACTTTGACAGTTAATCAGAACTGGTTAGAGCTTGACATATATCGAAAGGTTTTGAACAAAACAGGGCGTTCGATATACATCGCGTTAGTAAAATATCGATGTCAGGCTAACATTATATATAAAATTATCGACATCAACGCCTGCGTTAATTGAAAAAATAACTTTAGCTCCATTCTGTAAGAATCGGTTGCCTTACTAAAGCCCCATGTCCACCCTTAGCGAATATGGAGATACCTTGGTTTATTTATGTTCCTCCAACTGTTTTATAAACAATAGCAATACATTTCAATGAGATAGTTGTGCACACAGTATGATTGATTGCCATATTTGTTAATTCGAAGAACAGCGCCATTCAGCGCCAATAAATCGCCAGTAAATCTGGTAGTTCCTTCAAAAAGCCCTTCTCCCGGAGTCGTCTGGATTCGCACCTTAACCTCATACTCGTAATGATCATTATTTCGATTTAGCAAATACGCCGCTTGCACTTCTTTTATCTGCAATATCTGGCAAAGTTTCTCACTTCTTATAATGGCATTGATACTCTTCACCACAAACGAAGCAGCACGCTGGGATCTGACGTCGGCAGTAGCTAACGAGCTTAAACTATGACAGAGACAATAGGAGGCTGGAATGCCGGCCAATGCACAATCTCGCACCTTCGGTATGGGTAGAAACAGGCTAATACCTCGTGGTATATTGTTGCCTAGCTTCCGAAGTGCCGCCGTTCGTTTTTCAATATTGCTATTGTGCAGCAGCTTCAAATTGGTCAAGTCCTTGAGGGTCACATGTAAATCGAAGGTTGTGACAAGACTATGGGCATTATATCGAAGGTTAGATATGGCTGCCGGGTAAGCCTTCTCTAACCATTTGGGAAACAGAGCTATCAGAAGAGGCTGCGATTCTTCTAGCATTCCCTGGTAGGTCTGGCGAAAAGAACCAAACCGTATTCCATGATCGGACATCAGGAGTACCAAGGTGTCGTTCAAAATGCGTGTATTGTTGAGGACTTGCATTAATTTCAGGTATTTCTCGTCCAACAACTGGGCATAGTTGAAGTAGTCATGCACCCCCTGGCTCTGCCAAAAGAATGAAAAGTGCAGCTCATCTGCTATATTTGGTATCAGCTTGTTGATAAATTCGAGCAGTATATCTCCATACTTGCGGCTTCCAGTGCAGTGAATGTCATCGCGTAGATCAATGCTGTAGCGTGTGTGACTATCGATTTCTAGCATTACGGGTCGCAGATAAAAGTCCGTTGGTTGGCGATAAAAACCCTTTTTCACGTAATTAAATGTGCCGCCCACTCTGGTGTCTTCGGCGAAACTCGTTCTGTAGCCAGACAGCTTAAAGTGCTTCCACAGAAATTTGCATTCGTCGTAGTTCTCGTGGCCAACATAGCAGGCAGCTTCAAGCTGTTCGACGTTCATGCCACTGAGCAGGGGCACCAGATTGGGGTAAGAGTTTGACCCTACGCGGTTGTAGCCCCAAAACTCGACGTGTGGCAATCGGCTGATATAGGAACCCAAGAAGGGCATTGTGCGCAGATAATGCATGTGTGAGAGCGAATCGATGCCAATAATCATAACAGATAAACGATCCGACCTTTTTTTCGGACGATTTTTGAATTGCGATTGTAGAAAGAAATGAACATCATGATAAAGCGTAGCGTTATGGCCATCAGTGCATCGGATTCGCAGTATTCTGGTACTATCTTCAACACCAATTGCGAATGTTTGATTGCTCAAACGGATGATTCTTTTTGTAACGTATATGTTTCTAAAATCATCGTATCGTTGCGTTGTTTTGTATACGCAGACAATATCCGAAACGTTTTTCACTTTCCAGGCACTTAATATCTTCTTGTTCGACATTGTCCGTATCAGGTAGATCTTCCTATGAATCGTTCCGGCCTTAAAAAGTTGATGTCTGTTGCAGTTCTTAGGTTCAACTCGAAGTAAGTAGGTTGCCGATTCCATTGGCAGCGGATTCAGAGCCATCATGCGACATCCCGACGTATTCACAAAATAACCCTCTGCGATTTCATGCTCGGTGTCGCCATACGGTATTACGGTGCTAATGATATAATATACCGAAACGCAGAAGAGAATTGCCGCCAAGTAAATGCGATAACATTTTCTAGTTCCCCATCTGAATCTTTCATTCGGTTTCATCGTATTCGGCTTAAAATAATGTCGAGTAAATATTGAAAAAATACAACAAATTAATTTTATCAACCGCTCTAGCTGTTTAATCAGACAGCGTTTTCTATGTTTATGTGTTTCACACGAGCTGCTTTAAATTACAATGTGAGCTTGTGTTGCGAAAATATTAAATAAATCAATCAATTGCAAAAATGCCTCATTCTCGTATATAACTCTCATCGAACTGGCTGCGATCCAGGCTGTGATCTGTACCGAAAGCATGAGTTACCTCAAACTCACTGGAAACAACAAATATTAGAAATAGCGCATAGATGGTTATGCCCAGCAGTGCGCCGGATCGGCGTAACATAAAATTTGTGGTAATGCCGTACAACATGATCATAACGAGCGCTACGATCAGCATAATAGAGGCCGATTCGCCAACGGTACCCTCGGTGATCTGATGAAGAATATAAAGTTAAAAATATATTATTAATATAGAAGTAATAAGAATATATAATATAAAGTACGAGTAACATATATCACTCAATGTTGCCTATCTTTGCCTTTTTTTATCTCGTATTTTTAAAGGACACACTGATTGAACTAGGTATCGTGTAAAGCACACAGAAAGTTGACTTTGATTTTCGTCTTTTCAATTAAAGAAAATCACGGCATTTTCCCTAATTTGGAGTCGATAGCAAAGTCTGCGCTCTAAATAAAAACGGTTGGCTCTTAAATTAAATAACTAGATTTCAAAGTGACTATCAATTAGAATATACTCGATACTCGCTGGAATTTCGATATTGCACTGATATTTCGACTGTCACTCACTTTATTGGGAGCTCAACTGCAGAACTTTTGCACTCTATATCTCTCTATATTCATATATAATCGTATATATATATTTAACGCGACATTAGTTCGAAAAATACTCACTTGAAAGTCACCTGGTGACGAGGTTATAACATTATACAAAACTGGCAAGCAAACGGCCCCAAAGGTGGCTGAAATGGAGATTGCACACAAATTAATAGTTACGTTAATCAAGTAGATGTGTAAAAGGCGACATACAGAATATGATATACCCGAAACAAGCGGAGAAGGCCATGCGGGGAAATCCCTTGCGGGCCATGCCCAAATTTGACATAAAATCAGTTAGGGTACAGCCCCAAGTGAAGAGGGTGCAGCCAATGAACGTGTGACTTCGATGGAGTGTAATGCCCACAGTTTCGACCACGGCAACCAGCTCTTTGGTCGCCACGTAGAGGATAAAAATGCTGCCTATCACGTTCAATATGGCCATGTATGTGTACCAGCGGGGCACCGTGTCCGTGCGCGAGTGTCGAAAGGCTATGATCGAGATGGTTATGGTTATGCAAAAACAGATCCCAAAAACGGGTAGAGTCCATTTGTATAGCTTTAAATAGATATGAACTGTGGCAAGAGAAACAAGATGCATGTTAATTATCAAACACCCAATCTGGTGCACCTACTGACCAAACAATACAATAATGGTTGTGGGCGTAAGGAAAATCTGAATGCAGCAAAGCAGCTTGGACCATGTGTAGGCGGAGTCTTGGAAATACGTTTGAGGTATATATAGGCGCAAGAGGATCAGTGGCGGGACCTTAACCAACGCCCATATCTTGCAGATGGTCCACTGGCTCCTGAAGCCCTTTCTGTCCAAAGTGTCAAAAACCTGAAAGAATTGCTTAAGTAGGTGCCTATTGGGCGCATGCGTGCGTCGCGTCATATCCAGAAGACTGTGTGGGGTACTTGGGAGGAATAAGGATTGGTTGGTAAGACTGCTCTGCAACTCTGAAATTTGTTTTGCCTTCTCCCGCAATTCTGCTTAAAGGGATCATTGATCAATGCGGGGGCAACCCATTTCATTTTCGCACTAAACTCACCCTTGTCCTTGCGATACTGAAGGTACTCATCACAAACGATAACCACAATATAAATGGGACATATGAGAGCCATTGAAAGAGCCCAGGCAATTGTTATGTAACCGTTGCAAATCTTGATTGTAAAGTCCACATAGCTTACGTAGAGCAATACGAAACCCACGTCGCGAAGAAAGAAGGTGCCATCTATGGCAAATGGCGTTATCCACATAATAACGGATGATGTGAATACGCTCACGAATAGATTCACGGACATGGCATCAGAATAGACATGACGCGAGTCCAAGTGTAATGTGAGAATGCCACCGAAAATATCTGGAGCATTATTGCCTAATGTCAATACCGTTAGTCCCGCCAAATATTCATTTATGTTCAGATTTTTCGATATGTCCGTTAAAGCAGGCACAAAGCTAAAATCCAATGGGGGGGTAGATCTATTTAAAACTCTTCCTTTACTCTCCGAACACTACTCACAAGGTTTTCGTGGTGAAGTATATGACCCAGAAGAGCAGGGAACTGGCAAGGAGCAGCAATACGATGCACATGAATCGAAATAGATCGTTGTCATCGCAGCCACAGTAGAAGAACGAGTTGTAGTTCAACATAAACACACGGGCCTGACACGCATCACTATTCTTGGCATAGTCGCAGCGTCGACTTTTGTCCATCAATGTCAGCCTTTCACATCGTTGCTGTTTAAAATGCGAAACCGCTGCAAAATTCGTCCTTTGGGCTCCTTCAATTCGATTCACACATACCTGCGCCACCGGCTTGGCGTAATTCAGGTGCGCCTCACAGTGGGGCGACGTTTGATTTGTCGTGTTAAAGTACTCAAAGAGCTCAATATACATTTTATAGATTTCATATAAAATATAAATTGAATTATTACAAATACAAATTCCTTGTGTTTATTTCAAACTTAAAGATCGGAACTGGGTAAATTGATATATTCGAAAGTAAAAAGCAGTTTTCAATATATAATTCAATATTAATGGAAATCTATTATTAACAAATAAATTTTTTAACAAAAAGTCATTGTTGCATTTGCACAAAAACAATTTACCCTCTTGCAAAACATGACCAAAATTATAAAATTAAAAAAAATGTTGCAATTTAAATTTCTCTAATATTTTTGGACTTGTGGAAATATGATTTGTTTTTCAATATTATTTAATGAACTATGTTTCACTCAAAGTGCCCAAAGTCAAAGGAAAAAAAATGATAATAAATTAAATAATGTTCTAGTGAATTTCCGCTTTAATTGAAGGTAAATACAATTATCATGCTGGTCTTAATTTAAGTAATAGTGAAAAACACAAAAGTGTACAAAGGTTCGATTCAAATATTTCTATGAGCACGATAATCTTGTATCGAAATACATGTAGATATCTGGCGGCGGGTAAAAATTAATTAGAACTGACAAATAATAAGAATAGAAATTTAGAAAAATTGAGCGCAAATAAATAAATTAATTTTCACAAAACAAACGAGCAATTGTTGATCCCACATTTCGATATGACAAATATAAAATGCATTATGCTAACTACCAATAAATAAGGGAACAACAGCTAAATACAATGCCGAAATGCTAAATACAAAATACTTTTTGCAATTGTTCTAAATAAATAATGAGCACAACTGTACGCAATTTCTGTGAGAGGTGTGGCATATGCGAATTATAAAATCTAATCACCTTTGTTTAAAATTTAATGAACGCTATAATTTCAGAGGATTTGCAGTTGCACAGTCATCAGCAGCATTCTGTGGGTGGCCGATTGGTGGGAGGGGGGTGAAGGGGATGACTAACCCAGGGGTATCGGTAATTGGTGACAGCCGCATTATTTAGGGTGAGGCGAGAAACCAAATATGCTGGCCATAAAAATTTAACACAATTTTCCGAAAAACAACAAAAACTAAATACAAAAAACAAATAAAACGGATTTGTATCTGTTAACGAAAATCCAGCCCATACCCCCCTCCCCCGCCCTGTATAACAACAAACAACAAAAAAGTAATGCAAAACTATGAAAGGACAACAAAAGAATTTTAATTTTATGTTATTTACCGAATGCAAATAACCAGTTTACAGCAACAGCAAATGGCCCAAACGCTGGCTGACAACAACAAATATTTAATGCTTTCATAAAAATCGCACAATTTATTTAACAAATTATCCATTTTACCGCTATTCGCTTTGTTTTGTCAAATGGGGTTAATTTGTGTGTTAACCCAAACCATGCCATAAACATGCCCACATACATCAATATATGTAAATAATTACATAGATGCTCGTATTTACATACTCTCATTCTCCATCTCACTGTCGCTCCCTCCCTTTCTCTCTCTCTCTCTCTCTCTCTCTCCTTGAGGCTATATGTATCCGTGTGCCAAGTGTGGGTAAACACATGTAGCCGATCGGCAGTGCTGGTTAACGAAATTATAAGATCATTTAAAAAAAGCTATGCTTATGAGAAATGTGGCCAAGAATATAAAAAGTATTTACAAAAAAGATTTCACTAAAGCATATTGCACTAAATCAATCAAAAGTAAATGTTTAATTTGTTGCACTCTTAACTTTCGGTTTCGTTCAGTAAACTTATTCGCTCGTTTCTTGGCTAATAAGAAATTGTAATTTCAAGCTCAAAAAAAGTAGGTTTGGTTTGGAATTTTTAATGGATTTTGCTGTATTATAATGACAAGGCCTAATACGCACACATCGCTTTGCCCTATTGATTTCGATGTGCATGTTGAGTGGTCAGTTGCAGGCCAGTGTTGGGCAATCCAAAATAATTGCGGTACACTCGGAACACACTGCGGGATATGTTGGGCTCGTGCTTGGGCTGGGGCTCGGGCTCGGGCTCGGTTAGACTGTTGCGTTGACGTTGTCATCAAAATAAAAATTAATTATGCATTCTATGCGCTGCATTTGCTTTTGTTGTTTTTGTTACTGTCATTTCTATTTTGGGCTTTTTTGCACTTGTTTTTGCTGCTGTTGTTGTTGTTGTTGCTGATGCAGTTTTGTGCGGGATTAATGTGGGATTAAAGCAGCATGCATACTTTTTAGCATTTGGATCTGATAAGCGTGGGCGCAAATAAATTACAAATATAATAATTAAGCAGCATTATTTCTGACAAAACAAATGTCCGATTATTTCAGACCATCAACCGCCCCATTTTCCACTAAATGCCACGCCCTCCCATCAACTGCGGCGCTATAATCGCTTCGACAATCGCTAAAAGTTAGCGCAGCACAATTGTTTGGCCACGAACGGTAGAGAGCTGGTGGGGTGCCCAACGTGGGGCACTAAAATGCATTTGTGCATAGGAATTAATTACGCATAATGACAATTTGATAAAATTGAAAAATTACATTTTATTTAAATTGATTTATTGTAATTAAAAATTCTATAATGTCGCCGGCATGCAAATAACCCAAACAATACCAATTGCATTTTATCGCTATCGACAATATTTGAACCGTGGGAGGCTTCATACAGATATGGTAACTATTTTCTATGTTTCCTTGTTTTTAACCCATGTGGCATAAATCAACGCTGCAAAACGAAAAAAAAATTGTGGATATTCAACCCAATTACTCGTTCGGACAGTGAACCTGGCTTCAGGTTATTTCTTGCCCAACTAAAATGCTTGATTCTCACTTTCAAGCTAGTTGGGCTTAAATCACAGGACTAAACAAAGTTTTCCATCGTGAAATGGATTTTTAATGCTGTTCATCAGTTTGCAATTTCAACTAAACTAACAAAACAAAACTGTTACTCAGTAAAAATAAAATATATAGGATATCTTATGCTTCAGCCATTGCCCAAAAGTCAACTTCCTGCGAGCCACTTGTCGCTTCTGATCTTTTGCCAGCTTGGAAGAGGCGGCCTTTTCCACGTTCTTTGGCAATGTTTCTGGCTTCTCGTTTGCCAGCTTGGCAGCCTCTTCCACATCCTGTGAGAGTTTCTCTGAATTCTCTTCTGGCTGCTTGGCAGCCTCTTCCATAATCAGTGACAGTTTCTCTGGTTTCTCTTTTGCCTGCTTGGCGGCAACTTCTTCCACAACCTTTGGCTGTTTCTCAAGCTTCTCTAGCTGCTTTAGCTTCTTCAGCTTCTCTGTGTCGGTATCGACAAGACACAAAGGCGATAGGCCTACATCGGGCTGATCGTTAGCAGCGATGCCTACGGCTGGCTGCGTAATCTTTTCTATTGTTGGTTCGATTCGGGTCTGCCGCACAGGATTCTCCGGCTTGACGTGTACGAGTATATCGCCACCATAGCCGATCTTTTGGCCATCGTAGCTAAGCGCAATTTCGCAATCCATCATACAGAAATACTTCAGATACATTAAATTTGTTTCTGTGAAACTCTTGTCCACAATGTGTCCGATATCGAGAAAGAAACGATATACCAAATAGGCGCAATCCGGCTGATAGCCACTGACGGAAATCCAGAAAGGATTATCCAGCTCCATGCCAACCGAATTTGGCTCGGGATCACTTTTGTTAACGGCCATTGGCACCAGCTGTTCCTTCACCTGCGGCTCCTTGCTGGCCGCTGTCGTCTCTGCCTCTGTCTGTTCCGAAGGGGCACCGATAAATGGTGGCAAATATTGTTTATTCGAGTGCTTCTCCATGTCCTTTATAGATGCAGCCGCATTAGCCATGATTGTTAGAAATAAAATATGTATATATATAAATATATATATATATATATATATATAGGTTAATATCGACAGATGTCTTGTGAATATATATTTAAATGTACATACTGATTACAAATCTTTGACTTTTAATTCTGGATGAGAATGAATTTTTTGTTTATTTTTAACAATGTAATCCATTGAATATGGCTAAAAAGTTATTTATTTAAATGCATGTACCAGGCAGAAGGAAGTATATCCGTCCGCTTAAAGAAAATATATATTCTTGATCAGCATCAATAGCCGAGTCGATATAGAGATGCCCGTCTGTCCGTCCGTCCGTCTTTCCGTATTAATGGACGCGTCAATCTCACAACCTACAAAAGCTAAAAACTTGAATAGTTTCTCTTTCCTTTGTTTCCGATATTCGATAACCTGCCCCGTTGAGTAGCTTCTATAATAGTATAAACGGATCAGGTATCTTTCTCCGCCCTAGTTACAAATCAAAGGAATATATTGATTGGAACTACCCAAAAAATTTTGGCCACGCAATTAATGCGATTATTCCATAGAAAAATAAGATCTATTGAAGAAAATGTCATCAAGATCTAACCTGTTATTTTTAAGGATTGAGAAATTTTTTTCACGCAGGTTCAGATAATGTTTTCTTGCTGCCCTCGTCTGAAAATAAATATTAGACATGATTGAAAACTGCACTGAAAATCACATATCGAGAAACATTCCGTACCATTATCGGCAAGATCAAAAGCTTCCCTTCCGATCTACAGTTTGTCTGCCTCTCTCGCTCTCTCTCTCTCTCTCTTTTTCCTTGTTTCTATTTACGCATATTTTCATATAATTTACAATATGAAATTTTGACTGTCTATAAATTTGATCATTTGGAACAAGTTCAAAGCATTTCTGTCGATTGAGGCCGCGAGTCAATAAAATATTAAAAATTGCAGTTATAAATATGTTTCTGGCTTTGGCTTGGCTAATGCCAATGGGCGCCACAAAGTGGTTGCCACCCACACAGCCGGCCAAAGCCGCCGACACGGAAGTATCCATCAGGGCGGCCCATCGAGGGGCCCATCAAGAAGCAGCAAAGATTAAAGGCGGCCACCGATTGCCGTATCCGTGGATCGACTTCAAAAGAGGGAGTTGTTGTTGTTGCTGTTGTTGTTGACGAACCTGTTGATGCCTCTCATTATAATATTAACAATTGAATTATGTATCTACATATCTGGTTGTGTGTATCTGAATGTATCTATCCCTGCAATTTGTTTATATTTGTTTGTTGTTGCCCCGCCTGCCGCAGCGGCGGCCTTTGAACTGGCAACTCTATTGAACTCGGCTGCGAACTGATGGATCAGATATTGCGTTATAGTCCCACAAATGTTTTATACTAAACTACTTTCCAAGTCGAAGGTGCTAATCATCTTAATTTTGTAACTGCAATTTGATTTCTGTGTATCTCAGATCAAAGTCCATTTCGGTGCGTGAGCTGATAGGGTTCATCTGAACTATTCGATTATTAGCTGTGATTTGACCATTGATGTTCGTTTCTCTGGATTAGGATTTTGGTAAGAATCCATTTCACTTCACCGTAGAAATTTCGAATTTATTTTTGAATTCATTATTAAGTTAGTGGGAAAGGTAGAGAGTTAGTATGAGGAAGATATAGGTTCAAATTATCGTGCAAGCAGCATACATTTTTTCCAAAATTCTTCGTAAATGTCTTCTTTATATTTCTTTATAAATTTTAATAATGTGTCTTCTTCTCTGAAGAAAACAAGCAACGAACACTTCGAATGTTTTTTCTTTTTTAAATGGATATTAATTGATTTATACAAGTTTCCATATCTACCAAGAATAATTATTTGTAAATTTATATATTTATTAGTAATCTAACAAGGTTTATAATGCGATTCTAATAGAAAGATGTATGTTTGTTTCCTATTGGAATTACCAACTCCTTAATTTCCTAATTCACAAATATCCAGGTGTTATGTGAAAATATGTGTTTTTAAATAAATAAGGTCTCTTTTTTTGTAAACTTGTACAATTAAAGCCAGAAAAGCCTATTGAAATTAAATTAGAATTTGCTTAGAATAACATTCGGATAGGTCCAATTAGAATATCGAGACAATTATCGTATTAGATAGTCGTATCGTATTAGATATGTCTAAATATCTAGTGCACAACCCGTAAATATTGCTGAGAACAGAAAAACTGTTCCATTTAAGAATTAGTACGAATAAATTATTAGTAAGAATAAATTATCTCAATTTCAAACAATTAATTTTTAACTACTCAACCTTTTTTTTAAGATATCTTAAATAATTATTTGTATTACGTCACAATTGCTTAAATCTGCGATTCTAACGGTTTTAAGTTGAAGAGATTTGAGTCTCACTTGCCAACTCAATTAGTGGGTGGCGTCGTTGGCTGTGGCAGGGGGGCTAGAGGTCTCAGTCGCGGCTGCAGCTGACGTCGATGCTGGCGTTTGCCGGCAAAAGCTTGCACATGCAGCGCCCCCTCCCAACATGATAATGTGCGCGCTTGTTTGTGTTGGAGTGCACAAAGCAAAATACGCTCAACTTAGCAGCGACAACAATAACAATTCTCTCGCTCTGCGTGAGCATCGTGCAGCGTCGCCGACGCTGCTACAGTTCTGATGAGCGCGAGAGCGACGCGAGCAATTGCCAATTGGTATTGTGTCTCTCTTTCCCCTCTTGCAGACGCTGCGCTGTTCCATTGCCGGCGCGTTCCGCTCTTCCCCAGCGCATTACCCCTGCGCTCTCTCGTTTTCTTGCGCTCAAATGCTGTCCCTGTTGCTTATGCTTTTTAGTTGTTGTTTTCTTTTGCTTTCCCCTGTTAGCTGTCAGCGCGTCGCTCACACTTGCCTGAGCAACGGCTCGTGCCATCTCGCTTGCGCACCCAATGAGCTGGGCTATTTCTGCGGCATGTTTCGTTTTTTTTTTTTTGCTTTTGTCTTTTTTGCCTGCCCTGCTTTGTCTTGCTGTTTGTGTTAATTGTTGTTACTGGAGCTGTAGCTACTGTAAACACACACACACACACACACACACACACACACACGCAGCGCACATAAAGGGCGTACATGTATTATTTTTGCATTCTTTTTTTAACATTTGTTTTTCAGTTGTCTTATTAAATTTGTTTTCTAATTAACCGTACTCGATTCTTATATAGAAAAAAAAGTTATAAAAACTTGTGAATTTTCATCGATTGAAATATCGATATATTTTGAAAAATGAATCTATCGAATTTAGCAATCGATTATCGGTTAAATTCCTAACAATATCAAATCGGGTTTTATGCAATTTGTAAAATCAAAATTGAATTCACGATTTAACGGACTTTATCCACCTGGCATCCTCGAATCGAATTTGCAGAATTTGTCAATTCGAAATTAAGAATCTAATAATTTTTGAAAATAGTCTTAAAATTTGGTTTCATCTAGCAGAATTGCAAAATGGCTTGCTTGAAGAACGGTTGCGGGGGCAGCTGCTGGAAGAAGAATATGTTTGCCGGGCGCTTGGGCAACTACTTCCAGCAGCTGAAAACTGCCTACAACAACAACAACAACAACAACAACAACAAGAGGGGTAGCTGCGGAGGCGACTGCTCGACCGCCCAGGCGATGGATTCCAACGACACGACTCGGCCTCTGGATGTGTCCGAACGGATCCAGTGGCTGCGGCGGTACCGGCAGCATGTGTCCAAGAAGTCCGGCTGCGAGTGCCGCAAGAGCTCGCCCCGGGACTATTGGTTTAACGCGAATCGCGGCATCATTTTGGCCCTGAGCCGGGCGGTAGGGCTGCATGCGGACGTGGTCTCAGACTTTCTGTACACGCTGACCATGCAGAACTTCGCCAAGGTGCTGAATCCGCGCAACTCCTACTGTTACAATTGCCACGTGCCACTGTGCACCTTCGACGCCTGCGACTTCAACTGCGGCATCTTTGACAGCGAGGGCAACGTGCGCACTCCCTACCAGCCGGAGTCGCTGCTCAAGCTGTTGAGCGTGCTGCAGTTGGTGCTCAAGGGGGGCAAGGAGTCGGAAAATGGTGCGCACAAGTGTCTCTTTGGCGACGCCAAATGTCCGGCACGGAAATTCGGTCTGCGGCCCACGCGGTGCACTCAAAAGATAGCTGATCGCTCGGGCATCGGACCGAACTCCCTGGCCAGACAGAATGGGCTGAGACGTCGCTTCACGCGATACGAAAGATATTATTTGGATGGTAATGATCCGAATGCCGGGAAACCAGGCGCTGGCGATGCCGCCCTTGAAGCGTCTACAAGGAGAAAGCATTTTGACAATATGGAGGGCTATATAGGTTACTGTAAAGGTTCAATAGCCAAAGCCACGAGTGGTCTGTATGCTGGGGAGAAGCTGATTGCATATTCAGAGCGGCGCGATTATTTACGGAAGCTGTTAAATCGGATTAAAGATCGCGTTGGCATCGAACGGAATCTAGACGATTTGGTAGTTGCATTGACAGGATTCGATCTGAACAAGGCTCGAGAAAGCGAAATGAGCAGAACGAGGGGTATCGCGCAGAACATATCCAAGGAATACAATGACATGATTAAAGGCGACCTGAGCTCCTTAAAAATAGCCGAGGAATATCACAATGATCCCCATTGCGCTGAGCTCAACTCGGAAGCGGTCCCCCTCAGAAGCGAGACGCTGTTGAAGAAATCCGAAAAGACTCGATTCTATAATTGTGCACAGGTGCCGATATTGGCACACAAACCCTTCGATCCAGATCGACCGGAGACTTGGATGAATCCCCAACCGACGGTTGCTTGCATGGATGAAGAAAACAACGTGGGCCAACGGGGCATCATTCATCGCTACAGATGCAAATCCGTTGATCAGCGACTGCAGAAAGCCCGTAAAAGGATCGCCATACGCTCTGTGTACAGTCAAACCTCAGACGAGGATGTCAAAAAGAAAAAACGTTACAAAAACCAATCTTATAGGTAAACGTCTTGCAATTCCAATCCAAATCTTGATTACAGAAATGTTCGCTTGAAAAAAAAGTTGAAGAGAAATAAAAAGTCGGGCTCTTTAATTGGTGGGCAGTTTTAATAGAATCTAGGAAATATATTTCGTGTCCATATGAAGTGGAAATATATCAAAGGGATTTGTGTGTTTCAAATGATTAAATGAAATCTCATTTATTTGCATTCCTCTGCAGATGAGCTAAACTATTTCTGCACTTTTTTCGGCAAATGAAGGGTGCGGGTTCGAGTCTCAGGCTCTAGTGTACAAATGTAGTTTTGTCATTCAAAATATTTAAAATAAAACTAATAATAAAATTTATTTTTTGAGTTATACTTCTTTATTAAACCTTATTTAAAGTAAGCAAAATTCCATTGTTTTCTACAATTTTCCAAACGAATCTCACATGATTTGAAATGTTATGGTTATTTTTTTCTTTTCTTATTTTTTTTTTCAAATAATTCACAAACTAAAGAAATATGTTGTCAAGATTGTCAAAAATCGTCTAGAAACTCCTCAAGAAATTCCCATATATATTTCAATACTTTATGAAATATTTTTCTTATGTGAAATGTTAAAAACATTATGAGAAACGAAATGCGAACATTTCTTTAAATATGCAATATAAATACTTTATTTTCTTACATTTAAGTTTCTATAATATTTTTTTAATTCAATATATAAAACAGATTCAATTCCTGGGCCCAAAATGTGTCTTTTATATATTCTAACAAAAATTGTTTAAAAATTGTTTTGAGTATAGACTATTGAGCCACATTCGATTTGTTGGCCTTAAATCACTCGCACTCGGAAATTTCCCAGACATAGACCAGTTTTTTTTTTTTTTTCATTTACCAACCGCATCGTTTGGGTTCAATGCTTGTCGGCACGCATAAATTGGCATGGAGAATCCAGGTAGAGCCGCCGCCACAGCTGCGCCCCTAAATCACACGGAGACATCCATGGGTACTCACTCAGCGCCAGCTGAAGCATTCACATCACTTCGATTCCCATTTATTTTTAGTCGCATTCTACACAAAACATAATTTTGTGATTTGCTTTTATGACGTGTGGTAATTTGTTGGCTCGTTAAGTTGCTTTAATAGATCCCGCCCCGACCCCAGACGTGTAGCCCCACTCGGTTAGCCATCCTCACTCAAAATAAAATGCACAATCCGTTTGGTTCTGAATGCAACTCCAAAATTTTGGTCTTCTCTGGTCAATAAAGGCAGTCAAAACCAGCTGGACTAGAAAATACCCTATAAAAAACACACAAAGTTTCCACTAAAAAGATTGTTTCATTCAGAAATGTTAAATTTTGTATAGCCCTATTAGCGGCAATTACCCGGCCTTGCCCGTTGCGCAACACACGACCTTATCAATTTGCAGCTATGGATTTTCCGAATATTACATTAAGAGGCTCCAATAAAGTTTTGCAGAGATCTTTGATAAAATGTTGCAGGCTGTTTGAATTCTGAAAAAAGTAAATGTCATGAAACGCATTTTCCACCCATTTCCCACAGTTTCAGGTAAAATGTTTTAAAACCTTCTAGAAGCTCTCTATGATACCCAATTTATAGGGTATACAAATGTTTTACGAGCAGCCAAAGAGAAATGCATCTGAAATGTTTTTTATTGCATCAGAAACACTCAATAAAAGCGAATTATTTGAGTCCAATTCTTGTTGTTTTTACGTTGTTTGCTGTTGTAGCTCCGCTTCAGCTTTTACTTTTTCTATTTGTTCGGCTTTTACTTTTGTGGTCTCTGTTAAAATTGGTAATTCTCGCATATTTTTCCGATTTGGCTTAGTTATTTTTTTTATATATTCTGCAGTACAAATGCATTTTTATTATAAATTAAGAAAACAAAAAGCGTTTATATATTATTTTATTCTATTTTGTTTATATACCCTTCTAGAGGGTGTCTTAATATTTGAGTAATTTTAGGCCAGGCTTAAGCTCAATAGTTTTGTACAAATATTTTGCAGAGATATCGGAATCATATTACTTTGTCTATTAGCATATATATATAAAAACATAATCTATATTATGATATAATATATATTACATGAGTGCAAAAGATTTAATTTGTGCTAAAAAAAGTCTGGCAGGGTACTGAACTCTAATATCAGAAAGGGTATTTAATCTTCAGCGCCACAAACAATTACCTCTCTCCCTGTCTAGCTACAAGTATTCCTTTTTTTTTTCAACTTTACATTTGTATAACATTTTTGTTATTCATTTTTTAGTTTTATGATTTTATGATTTGTTGATTGCAAAAATATATTTTGTAGAGCTTTTTCATATTTTGAATTTAGTTGCACTCGCGCTTTGAATAATTGGCAATTACATAAAATGCGATTTGGTCAGCTACAGTGAAGACTTGTGGAGAGAAATGTGCACAAAAATAAAATATACAAATGTGTATTTAAAGTACAAAATATTATTTTGTGGTAAAAAGTAATTCCGAGCTTACTCTCAGGGCGGAATATTAATTAAAAGATTTCTTGTTTATGTAATAAATTGCTTAGGAAGTTATTGTTGCGAAAAAATAATTTAGTTATTTTCAAACATTTAATTATTTATAATGTTTGATTATTAAAAGAAAACTCAGTATTTGTACAATCACGAGCTTTCCCAACATTTTTCAATCCGTCACAGTTTTATTGGAGTTTTATTTATGTGAAACTATTCCGTTTATGCCATCAATCAAAATGGGATGTAAAAACAAAACACTGCTGCAGCTTGTAGCGCATCTGTGAGATGTGAGCAGAAGTATGTCGCCTGTCAGTGTCTGACATCATAATAGTGTCATTGTCATCAAAGCAGCCTGATAGGGAGGAAGGGAGGGAGTGGGTCCTGCCAAAAGCGTTTGCAGTCATAAATCAAAAGAGCGCCGCCAGCTGAAGGATGAGCGCAAAAAGCTAAACAAAAACAATTAGAAATAAGCGGCAAAAACTAAACGCATGGCCAGGATGGCCAAAGGATGCCACTGGCGCTGTGCTCCATATGCCAGGCATAAATAAGCAAATGCAACAAGGACAAACAAGGACAATGGGCCACGTAAGGGGCATGGGCGCAGGAACGACAACAGGACAACGACAACATTTCATCAACGTAAACGAGCGAAACGTTTATCAACTGCTCAAATGGCCATTAAATGTGTTGTGCGTGCGTGTGTGTGTGTGTGCTTGTGTGTGTGTGTCTGCACATGTGATGGCATCAGCATCAACACCCAGTAGGCATCCTGTTGTTGGCCAGTGCATGGGCACGGCTATCTGCCAGGACATTCATCAAACGATAAATTGAGTGAATGACTTCATGAGCGGTGCAGAGGGCGCACTTCCGTGCCCCGGTGCCCCGATACTTTCCCGTGTTCCCCTTGTGCCCCTTGTCATAGACTGCCCCTCGCTGCCGCATCCCGGCAATTGGCCAGTGTCGTTTGGAGGCGTTTGAAACTGTTTATTCTGCACTCATGTGAGTGACTGTCTGACTTAAATTGCCATCACATCCTGTTCGGGCAGGACGAAAAGCGAAAACAGCGAGAGAGAGAGAGAGAGAGAGAGAGGGAGACAGTGCGAGTGCTCAGTCCATTGCAGTTGTTTCTCTGATTGGTATTCAGACCCATCCGCATGTTACACATACGCCGCGTTGCACTCCGCCTGAACAACAACTCAGTTATCACAGGACACACACGCACACACACACGTACACACTCACAGCCATCAGTCAGCCAGTCGTTCTCTTTTGTGTCCTTGTTGGCTTTTTGGCTGATTTGCGCCTGCAGTTGGCGCTGAATTTTCACATTCGCCTTAGGCACATTCATCATTTGGTCCTTGACGTGACGTTAGTGTTTTAATGGACTCCACTTGTCCGCTTTGATCACTGGCCAGCAGCAAGGACATAGCTGCTTTTTCTGCTCCGGCTGCGCATATTTGTTTGTTCTACGTGTTGGCAGCAGCCGCTCTGCCCGTCACATCGCGCCGTCTCCTTGACTCAATTGAACGTTTTTTCTGTGGAGCAGCCACACTTGCATTTCATTGAGTCATTTTGCATGTCCATTTGCCCAACTGGCGATTTATCTGTCCAAAGTTTGCTTGGACCAGCTGAACACATACGAAGCTTAATTCAGCACATTTGTAATCTACTAATTGCAATAGAATTTTTATTTGATTACATAGGGACTTTTAATAATCCTTTTTGCGTTAATATATTAATTAACAAGTTTTTATAATTGTTTCGTAATGCTCAGCAATATCTAATCTTCAGGTGAGAAACTCCGTTCTGAGAAAAATCTATAAAACCTATCGATGAATGGAAACAAACATAATTAAATAAATAAATCTAAAATATGAAATTGTGATTAAATCAAAGTAAAATAGGCTTGTCTAATCTTAAAACAAGAACTTAATAAATAAAAAATGTAAATATAAATGGACAAGTAAATTATAAAACAATTAAAACAAAATTGCATAATTTTGGATAAGAAAAAAATAAAAAAAGTAAATAAATAAAAATTGCAAAAAAATTTAAAATCAAATGAAAAATAAAAATAAATGTTTACAATTTTGGAAAATATAAATTTTTCAAATTTTATAATGGTATGACGAAAATTTAGGTATACTAAAGCATAAAAAATACAAATAAAATATATATAAAAAAATAATAATAATAATAAAAATTTAAAGAAGATTAAATCAATTTGTCTTCTATATCTGTCAATTGAATTTAGAAGGCATTATTTTGCGGCTCTGTTACTCGTCAGTTGATTTTAGCTGATTGTTAATTATAAGAACTTAACTGTCATGTTACTCAACTTTCGACTGATATTCATTTCCATTAAAATACACCGTTTTTGTTGGCGTTGCATCGCAATGTCAAGACGAATATCGATCAATGATAATGCGGATATGGCAGAAAGAAAAAATTGCAATATTATCGCATTATTTTTGTCGTGTACTTGTCAGCAACTTAATGAGCTTACAATGAGATCTCCATTTCAATTGCGGGCAGTTGTTGTAGCTGGAGACATCAGACGACGACGACGACTTCCTGACGTTAATCGCGCGAC